CAGGTCACGTCAAAATTGATGCTTGATATTCGTCAATTTTGATTACGTGATCTGTTTTGACGTTCGAATCGAGCGTCGAGCGTCAGCATGAAAAATGCAATCTTACGTCCAGACAACTTTAGGAGCTTTTTTTCAGCAACAGACACAAATTGACACAAGAGTTATTCTGTTTTTGTTCAATAATCAGTAAGAAACAAAGACGGAATGATTTTTGTGTCTCTGCTAGAAAGTTTCCTTTATTGTGCACTTTTGCTATAGTATAACGTAAACTACAGATTTGACTATTGCAATTTGCACATTGGACACGACGTGTGATATCCAATAAAAACTCTGATTTACATCGTCATATGCAAAAAGACAGAAATTTCATTGGGCGCATTCAGTGAACTTAACAGCTAAGTACTCATTGTTATTGGTGTATTCTTTTAGGTAATCCAATCAGAATTTAAGATTTGGAAGAATACATCAATGGCTGCGTTCAGCAGACTTGACAGTTAAGTGAACGCTTGTTACTATTAATGTATTCTTCTAAATCTAAAATCTAGTTGGACGATCTGCTGATACTCAGCACTCACTCAACACTGTTGAATCTATTGAACACAGCCATTGGATATCGCTCGTTGCTATAAATATATTCATTTTACTTCAATTTATTGCACTGTGTATACCAGTCCAGAAAGTGCAACAATAAAAAACCGACCTCAGGAATAAAAAAAAACAGACGTAACAGGAGGTCTGTTCTTTTTAATTAAAATTCTTTCACGGTTAATTTTTTTTTCCTTTTCTCTTCGCGTTGGAGAGGAAAAGAAACATGATAAATCGTGCAAGAAGTTCGGCTAAAAAGAACAGGACCAATTGCAAAGCTTTTTCTGCTGGACGTAGCCAAATTCTATTGGGTATCGTACGCAGTGTGAATTTAACATAACCGACTCCTGTTCTTTTTAACGTATGTACGACTTTTTATGAACTTCGGAACGCTTCGGTGCTGCGACAGCAACGCCATCGAGCAAACTCAGCAAAACACACATATAGACCGTTTAAATTCAAAAAGCTAACGGCATGCGTTTACGGTGGCGTCGTTTCTTGAGGAAAGTGACGCGTGTGAATTTCTTTCGTGCAATAGGTTGACATTTTCTAGAGATTGAGGTATGTATGCGACGATGCAGAATTTATAACAACCGTATTGAGCCATACTTTTAACTTGGATATTATTCTTTCTCGAAGAAAATAAAGAGATAGGAATAATGGCCGATCAACCGGAGTGGAAGCCTGTCGTGCAAAAAATAGTCAAGGAACTCGAACAGGCATTCGACGTGTTGCAGAAAACCTGGGAAGGCATCGGATGCACCAGGGATATGCGATCAACGTACTATGACCAAGCGCATAGTCACGTAAAGGAGTTGTTAAACGATATGGTCGCTGAAGCACAGTCAAAACAGCAGCTGTTGTTTGCTAACATACAGGATCTCTTCAAACAAACAACGTCATTGTATGCAGAATTGCAAATGGAGGTGATACCCAAGACGTATGATCATGTCCCTTTGTGCAAAGTCGAACAAATTCTTCAAACAGATTTACAAAATTTAGAGTGCATAAAGAAAGAACGTATCGTAATTCTCAAGGAATTATTGTCGAAGGAACAAGAAATTTGCAAGAAGCTCGGCTGCAAAGCGTTAAACATAGTTGAGGATATTGTACCTACGGAGCAAGATCTTGAGAGTTTTAAACTTTATCTACAAAAGCAAGAGATTGAGAAGACACATTTGGAGAATGTTTTTACAGATATACGTCGTTCCATAATCAAAATGATGAATGATTTAGAAATATCTCCATCTTCGCCATTTATAGAGTTAGTCTGCAACAATCCTGAAGAGTTTGTGCTGAATGCGAACAATATAACAAAACTGAAAGAGTACAGGGATGAATTGAGTATGCAGATAGAAGACACAAAGTGCTGCGTCGAAAAAATGAAGGAAGATTTATTGGCATTATGGAAATATCTCGACGAACCTGACGATGTTTGTCAATCATTCCTTGAAAAACATCCTGGATATAACAGTAATACCGTAAATGCTCTTGCAGTAGAAATAAAGCGTTGTAAGGAAAAAAGAAAAGATAATATCCTCAAGTACGTCACACAGATTAGGTATGAACTGCTGAATTTATGGGATTTGTGCAAATACTGTGAGGCAGAAAGAAACACATTTGCACCATTTTTTTCTAACACATTCACAGAAGATCTGTTGTCGTTGCACGAATTAGAAGTGGAGAGACTGCGCAAATTTTATAATGATAATCGAACGATATTTGAGCTTCTAGAACAACGCGAAAATTTGATAACGAAAGTTAAGGATTTGCTTCAGCGAGCAAACAATCCCGATCGCTATCACAATCGCGGGGGCCAATTGTTGATGGAAGAAAAAGAGCGCAATGCTATACAAAGGAAGTTACCCAAAATAGAAGCAGAACTGAGGAAATTGATTAAGGATTACGAAACTACTCATAATCAGATGTTTACTATTTATGGCACATCGTTGGAAAATGTTTTAGCAGAGAGTTGGGAAAGTGTCACTCTTGAGAGGGAATCGAAGAAGAAGGCAAGGAAAGAGGCAAAAGATAAATCAATTAAGAAATCGCCTTTAAATAGTTCTAAGCGAACGCCAGGTATGTTGAGCGTTCACAGAGGGCCAGCACTAGGATTATCGAAACGTAAACTGTTCAGCCCATCTCCCAATTCGTCATTAAAACGTAGAAATAAAAACGGCGACAAGAATAAACCTACTATCACTGTATCCAAGATCAGAAGGAGCGGAAGACTTCCAAAAATTGGTCAGAAATCAGGCAGATCTTCCAAAGGCGGACAGAAAAGAAAGGAATCGCAGTCACCTGTTAATAGCATTACGGATACGACATATAATCAGTTTCAGGGCCATATGACGGACAGAGAGGAATTGCACAGCTCAATGTTGCCAGACCAAATACTAAGGAGTGCTAATAGACTCAATATCAATAAGACACCAGTACGAACGCCTATGAAACCATTGAGGAAACATCTTTCTGCCACAACAACACCATCTTTCACTCCTCTCTCTGCACGTAAAACACCACACAGCCCCAGAGTCATTAACACCCCGAAATTAGCGACGGCCCCGAGTAACTTGCCTTTCATCTTTTAAACGAGATCGAAATAATATATTTTTTTTTATATTATGACATAATAAAGCAAAACTACATTGTTTAATGGCCTATAACGAGCAATAATAAGTAATAATTAACATACATTCAATTTATTATCATAACCGTACAATAATAAAATATTGATTTCGTTAAGGATGAATATGACTGAAACGTTCGGAAGTTTGTAATGGTAATTTAATATGAATTATATATAATACATAAAACTAGTTGAAAATTTGTGCACATTTATTGAACTGTTTCTCTCAAAGCCTTTAATTTGGAATATTTTAATTTTCAATTTTAAGAGTTCTTTAATAATTATACACAATTAAATAATGAAAAATGTATTGACTTAGGGTTCTATTCTGTAATTCTTGACGACGATATTGTTACAGTGTCATTGCGCAGATTTTATATACAGTAAAAAAGCTGCGCAATGACAATTTAACGATCGTTAGAGTCAAGAGTTACAGAATAGGCCCTTAATGCCCGTTTCCACCAATGTAGTTTAATTTTAATCTCTGTTCAACTTACTTTTTGTCTTTTTCTAGTTCAAAAGATTAGAAAAAGACAAAGAGTAAGTTAAACCTAGATTAAAGTTAATCTACGTTGGTGGAAAATTAGTCTTCCTCACTTTATAATATTTATATTAATTTGTTCACACAAACAAGTCATGAAAATTAATACAATTATAATTAATACATTTGTGAACAATTTTTTAATGTATGATTTATACCTATTCCTAAAATGTATGCGGTTATTTTTCTTATAAAGGTCATGTTAGCATTGACAGTACTTGTAAAAAAATAGTATATTCATTCGATCAGCATCAAACTGTCACTGCTATAAAATTTTATAACCAATTCTTCATTGTTGGTGAGAGTTTTACTTGTTAAACATTAAATAAGTAAGTTA